TGAAAACTGAAAGAGGACCACATTTGGTGGAAAAAAATAATGAGTTACCGAGTTTCATCTTGGGCATGTTGGCCCTGAAGCATCCTTATTCTTCTGTATTTAGTACTAGTAAAACCCTAAAAGCAGCATGAAAAGTCCATGGTAAGGGGGTATAGCTAAATAAAGTATGTTCATAAATTTTCTAGAATATTATTCAGCCTTAAACACGTTGGGTACAAGACTATAAAGCATGTTAGATTAAGTGAAAAAAGTAGGATACCAAATCCAATAATCACCGAAAACATAGAAAAAGTACTGAACAGAAATAGAGCAAACTTTACACAATGATTATTTGAGGATTGTGGGTGAATTTTTTTAAATTTAAATTTTCCATCTTGTAAAAATACCAATCTTAGAAATTAAAAATTGTAATATCAGGTTTGTTTCGTACATCATTGATTTATAATGGTTTAAATGGTTGCTTCTCTAAACTGACTTAATAGTAATTACTTCAGGTAAAATGAATTCTTTTTTAAACGTGACTTTCTAGTTAGTTCTAAAGTTGAGTGGAGGTGAATTCTTAGTTGTACAGCGTAAGCAATTTTTACAGCTGTGTTAATCAGTAGTCAGTGCTGATCATCTCTCCCATAGTTGTCTCTGCTAGCTTTTCCATCTGTCAGCTGTAAGCAATGCAGAAGCATTGAAAACATTTTCCTTCGCCGTAACACGCTAAAATTCTCATAAAATGTCCATAAACATTAAGTACATTTTGTGAGTGATGAATAATGTTAAAGAACTAGCTATGTGTTTTAATATATAAAATTAGACTTTGTGTAAATTGACTATACTTTTAATCATGGATTTTCTCTAAGATAATGTGCTAAGAAGATATCTAAACAATTCAACACCTGATATTTTGGTCGTACTTTAGGGAATTGTTTTAATAAATAAACGTTATTTAATTTTAATTTATGTACAATGAAATGCACCCATTTGTTTATTTATTTTATTGAATTATTTTTGAGCCAGGTTCTCGTTCTGTTCCCCAGGCTGGAGTGCAGTGGCACAATCATGGCTCACTGCATCCTTGAGCTCTTGGGGTCAAGGGATCCTCCCGCCTCAGCCTCCCAAGTAGCTAGGACTACCAGTGCATATCACCACACCCAGCTAATTTTTTATTGTTTTTTGTAGAGCTGAGGTATTGCTTTATTGCTCCTGCTTGTCTCAAACTCCTCACCTCAAAGCCATCCTGCCACCTCGGCCTCCCAAAGCATGAGGATTACAGAAGCAATTGACTGTGCCAAGCCCATTTACTTATTTTAGTGACTTTTTACAACTGTATATACTCATGCAGCCACCACCACAATCAAGATATAAAACACTTCTGTCACCATAAAGTGTTTCCTGGTACTCAAGTTTCCTGGCCCCAAGCACCTAACCTCTCCTTTCTGTCACTAGTGATTAAGTTTGCTTTCTATAGAATATCATGTAACTGCAATTTTGCCATACGTACTTTTTTGTATCTGGCTTTTTTCACTTAGCATAATTTTTTTTTGAGATTTATCCATGTTGTTGCATGTATAGTCAGTCCTCTGTATTAGCATGTACCACATCCTTGGATACAGAGGGCAAAATGTAAGGTACTAAGCATCTTTGGATTTTGGTATCCATGGGGTATCCTAGATATCCCATCCTGGATGTCCTTCGTAGCCAATCCCCTGTGGATACCAAGAAACTACTGTAAATTAGTAGTTTATTTCTTTTTATTGCTGAATAGTAATCCATTTATGAATCTGTCATTTGTTTTCTCCATTCAGCAAGCAGTTGATGGACATTTTACTTGTTTTCAGTTTTTGGCTATGAAAACAAAAGCTGTCATAAACCTTCTGTATAAATCTATGCAAACATGTATTTTCAACTCTCATGGGTGAATACCCAAGAGTAGAATTGCTGGATCCTATAATAAGTGTATGTTTAACTTTTTTGGAAACTGCCAAACTGTTTTTGTTTTGTTTTGTTCTGATTTGAGATGGAGTCTTGCTCTGTAACCCAGGCTGGAGTGCAGTGGCGTGATCTCAGCTCACTGCAACCTCCGCTTCCCAGGTTCAAGCGATTCACCTGCCTCGGCCTCCCGAGTACCTGGGATTATAGGCATGCACCACCATGCCCAAGTAATTTTTGTGTTTTTAGTAGAGACGGGGTTTCGCCGTGTTGGCCAGGCTGGTCTCAAACTCCTGACCTCAAGCAATCTGCTTGCCTCAGCCTCCCAAAGCGTGGGGATTACAGACATGAGCCACCACATCTGGCCTGCCGAACTGTTTTCTAATGTAGTTACAATGTTTTGCAATGCCACTAGCAATGTTGGAGCATTTTATTTGCTCCATATACTTGTCAGCTAAACATCTTTTAATATGTTTTTTGGCTATTCATGTATCTTTTTTTGTAAAGGATGTGTTCACATCTTTTGCTTATTTTTATGTTGTCCAGTTTGTGTTCTTATTGCATTATGAAAGTTGCTAAAATATATACTGGATACCAGTCCTCTACTGTAGATATGTATTGCAAATATTTTCTATCTGTAGTTTGCCTTTTTTAAAACTTCCTGTTAGCTGTCTTTTCAAAGGCAAATTGTAAAAATTTTTATGAAGTTTAATTTATTCATTTTTTTTCTCCAGTTCATGCTTTCATGTCCTAAGAAACGTTTGCCTACTCCAAGGTTGTGAAGAAGGCATTTTCTTCTAATAGTTTTAATTATTTCAGCTTTTTAAAGTCTGTGATCCATTTCAAGCTAGTATTTATTACTAGTTCAAGAGATAAGATGGAGGTTTTTGCTGTTTTTTGATTGAGTATCCTATGAGGCAAGATTGAAGTTTTTATTGCTTTTTGTTGTTTAAATATGGATATTCAGTTATTGCAGGACCATTTGTTACGAAAAATTATTTCTCCACCTTTATCAAAAACCAATTGTATGGATTTATTTCTGGACTCTATTCTTTCCCACTGATCTATATTTCTGTCCTTTTGCTAATTCCACATTACCTTGATGGCTGTAGCTTTATAGTAAGTCTTGAAATAAAATAGTAAATCTTCCAACTGTGTTCTTTGTTCAAATTTCTTTGACTGTTGTATTAGTCCCTTCTCGCACTGCTCTAAAGAAATACTTGAGACTGGGTAATTTGTAAGGAAAACAGGTTTAATTGGCTGATGGTTCTGCAGGCTGTACAGGAATCATGGCTGGGTTAGGAAACTTACAATCATGGCCAAAGGCAAAGGGGAGGCAGGTACATCTCACATGGCAGGAGCAGGAGGAAGAGAAAGAGTAGGGAGGTGCTACACACTTCTAAACAACCAGATCTCATGATAACTCACTATCATGAGAACAGCACCAAAGGGAAATCCACTCCCATGAACCAATCACTTCCCACCAGGTCCCAGCTCCAACACCGGGGACTACAATTTAACATGAGATTTGGGCAGGGACACAGACCCAAACCATATTAACTGTATTCTATGACCTTGGATTTCTTTGTAAGTTTTAGAATTACCTTGTCAATTTCTCCAAAAAGCTTACTGGGATTTTTATTGGGATTCCATTAAATCTACAAATCAATTTGAAGATTTGAGTCTTCTATCCCATGAACATGATATATCTCTCCATTTATTTAGGTCTTCTGTACTCTCAGAATGTTTTGTACTTTTCAATGTAGAACTAATTCTTATACATATTTTGTTGAATTTATCCAAAATATTTAATTGCAAGTGAGATTTCTAAAATTTCAGTTCCTATTATTTGTTACTATTATGTAGAAGTACAATTAATGTATTAGTATAGTATAATTAGTATAGTATTAATATAGTATAATTCTTTAAATACTATAAAGCCAAATCCAGGAATATGATATATATTAGTATATAAAATATATTAATGCAATATAATTATAGAATAATTATAATTCTATATATTATAGTAATGACAATATAATTATAATTATTATATTGCATCTCTATATAATTATATAACTACAATATAATTATATTGTATTATATATTTATATGATTATAATCTATCATGTATAATTACCATAATTTTGTTTTAAATGCCATAAAACCAAAGTCAGTAATATTACATAGCTAAGACCTTCCATACGATATTGATTAGAAGTAGTGAAAGTAAATATACCTCCATTTTTCCCAATCTCAGAAGAAAAGCATTGCATCTTACCATTACATATGATGATATCTATAGGTTTTTTGTAGATCCCATGTGTCAAGTTGAAGATGTAATATTACTGGATTTGGTTTTACAGTATTTAAAACCAAATTGTACTAATTATATGTAATATAAATATATATTCTATTACTGGATTTGGTTTTATGATATTTAAAGAACTATTTTCATATATTTTTGTGAGGTATATTAGTCTGTAGCTTTCTGTTTCTGTGGTATCTTGGTCTAGTTTTGGTATTGGGGTAATACTGGCCTCATAAAATGAGTTTAGAAGTGTTTCATCCTTTCCTCTTTTCTGAAAGAGTACATGTAGGATTGGTATAATGACTTCCTAAAATTTGATAATGATGTGTAGTTTTGTAAAACTCTTTGATTTTGATGTTAGAGTAATAATGGGCCTATAAAGTAGGAATTGTTTCCTTTTCCTTTTTGCTGAGTTTAAGTACTGGTATTGTTTTTTCCTTAAAATGTTTAAATTTACTAGTGAAGTTCCCTATAACTGAAGTCTGTATATATGTGCAGGGGGTAATTTTGTGGATATCAAAGTGATATAGTAGTTGGAGAATGATGTCTGGAGCCAGAAAGTCTGTTAAAAGTACTTAGTTCTCATTGACTCTCTTTACAAGTCTTAGCTTATCTAACTGTGCCTCAGGAATACACAATTATTGTTCCACCTCATATAATTGTTTTAAGGGAAAAAAATATAAAAACATATGAGTGTGCTTGCTATTTGATACCCATTTGATTCTTTTCTTGCTATATGTTTCTAACTGCAACTTTTCCTTTTTTACAGAGGAGGATAAATATAATATTTACTCACCTTTGCTCTTCAAGTGTTTCCTGGCAGAAGGAATTGTCAATGGGCATACTTTGTTGGTTGCATCTGCTAAAGAGGATCCTGCCAACATTTTACAGGTATAGAATATATGAACTTAATATTGCATTTTGAATGGTAAACAAGATATATGTTTGTATATATACAAACTATATTTAAATGCATTAACGGGATTATACATTTTTTAAAATCTCAGTAAAAAGTATCAAATTTATTTGAACATAGAGTTATATTTTAAAGTAATGTTCTTGAACAATTTTTTAAAACTTCATATGAGAGGTGGGGAAACATTAAGCTAATAAAAACTGACACTAAGTAAAATTACTGGACCAGGCATTCACAAAAGTCATGCTTAATAGCAAAAATTCTAGTTTACACTTCTTATCGAAGAAAGGGGAAAATATCCTTTAATTTTTTTGCTTCTAATTATAACATCTTCATTTTGACTACTACTATGGCAAAGCAAATTTTCCAAAGTCTAAGTTTTCTATACTGCTAACAAAGTATGGGTTAACTGTTGCTCTTAAGAAGCCTTTAAAAGAAACTTGGAATTCGAATTTTCAGCCTGAAACTGTTATATAAAGTATAGGAAATCACTACTATATGAGTTAAAGCAAATAATGGAATAAAAACAAAAGGCACATCTATATAATCAGCAAATTGGCTGATAAGACATTTTAAATATTTTACATTTCTACTTAGCACAAGCAAAAATAAACTGATTCCAAGGCACTACAATATTTGCCATTTTTACTGCAAGCTTTAGGCAATTTTTTTTTCTTTTAATTTTGAAGAGATGAGGTCTCACTATGTTGCCAGGCTGGTCTTGAATTCCTGGCCTCAAGGGGTTCTCCTACCTGGGCCTCCCAAAGTTCTGGGCTTACAGGTATGAGCCACCACATCCAGCCTAGTGCAAGCTTTAATCATAGTTTCATTCTAAATGTATCTAAGGAAATTCAAATGTTCATACATAAAAAAATTATTATATCTGATAGGTAATACTCTACACTGTCATGATAATAAGAGAACTCTGGAAAACATTACATGAAGCAAAACAATTGCAGATTGTTTGGTAATTATATTACCAATATGCCAGAGGTATAAATCAGAAGAGTCAGATACTAGAAGTACACATTGATTAATACTAGTTTTCTTGGAGAATGCTACAAATGATTCTCTTCCATGATAAAATATGTCATTAATGTACCGAATCTTTAAGCCAAAGCACACTTTTTTCCTCAGAGAGGACACTTTTTTAACTTTTAGAATTCTTAGTTTCTTTGTCCATAACAGAATCCTAATTTAAGCCATTATTTGAATAGAGTTAATAATCTAAAGTCATTTTTCCATAGGATATTTTAATTTTAGTACATAGTTTGCAAAATGGCAAATTAGTCATTTATAAGGAATTTGTAACATAATAAATACTAATTCATAATACCTGTGAACAAAAGCCAACAAACTTCTTTGCCTTAGTATAAAAGTTACAATAATGCTGAGGTCAAAACTAACATAATTCGTTCATATGATTCAGATTTTGCTTGTTAAATAATACTACTATAAAATCCAAAGCAGAAACCTGTATATAATTGATTTTCCTCTGATTGTAGGGCTTATTTTTTTTTAATCACTTTTTTAGTTGTTTACTTTTTACGATATTTTTTGGTGTTTTCTTTTGCTCTTTTTCCTGCCTTTTATCATCTTGGCCAACTTCCGGACAGTGCTACACTTGCTAGGAGCAGTGGAGTAAAGGCCAAAACCATTGTTGTAAGTAAGCTATACAGGTTCTTCATGGCATATTCCACAATATACTGAGACTAAGATTTTATATGAAACATCTATATGGCCATTATAGGAAAATTTTGCCAACCAGAAGCAGAAATACCTATATATGCTTTTTAAAATAAAGTGTTTTATTTTTATTTTTTCCTCTTTCAACCCAGGTAGCTGATGTTAAAAATTTTCAGTTTGCTTTAGAGAATACTTTAATTTCAAAACTAATCCCTGACATCTTTCTTAGGGGTGCCTTGAATTTGTACAAGTTAGTATTAAAAATCTCAGTGTACTTTATGTATCCTTCTTTAGATGATGTGAGGGAGTTTGAAGCTGTAAAAGAAATATTACCTTTTCATCAAGCTTTCATAAAATAGCCAGTCATTTATGGAAGTAATTGTGTGTTGCAAAGACTTAGTCATACAACAATTTTATGGTGTAGGAGAATAAAATATAAAACTATAGTTAAAAACAAAACAGACTCTTAAAAAGTACACCATGTCTGACCCAGTTGCATATGTCTGACCAAGACAGATTAATAAAGTCCAGATTTCTCCTCATGCCTGAAACAGCTGGAAAAAAAAAAAAAGCAGCACAGAATATAAGAAATAACAGTTTTCAAAACACTTGGCATCAGATAATAAAAGTGATTCCTAGATATACAAAACAAAGAAGGCAAACCCTATAACTTCCCTACCTTACTGAGTACAGTGTTTCTGAGCCACAGTGCAAAGAAGAGAAACACAAGATAAGATGACCTTCAGGCGGCACAGCTAGGAACACAACGAGGTCAAGGAAATTCTGTTTATAATCAGAGTACCTGAATGGGAAGTACCTGAATACATCAAGTGAGTTAGAGATCTGCATAGGGTCTCCCTCTAGTCTTCAGTTGAGTGCTCACCTGTACATGTACATGAGGAAATGGCCTGAGGCTAGAAAAGGAACTACCTGACAATATTAGAAGTAACAATCCCCAGGGCCAACAGTAATTCCTGCTCCCACATGCCAGAGTGAAAAACTTCATGATTCATGAGATGTCAGGTGGGGTATTTAGAAGAGTTTTGCATTGGTAAAGAGCAAAATTATCCCCAGTTTATAAAACACTGCTCTGGTCCTGTCCAATGAGGCTTAAAAACAAGGTCTGAAGTAACCAGCTGTTTTCAAGTAACTTAACTGTGTCCCAGTCCAAAGCTCAAAGTACGGTAATATTAAAGTGTCCAGCACTCAACAGGATAAAATATTCTGTGTCTGGTTTCCAATTAAAACATAGTAGACATGCAAAAAATAAGAAAATATAATTTTAATAAGGGGAAAAGTCAAAGCAAAAAAGAAATGTCATGATAGAGTTAGCAGATGAAAACATAAGTTTTATTATAAGTATATTCTAAATATTCAATAAGCTAGAAGGAAGATTAAACATGTTAAATGGAAACATGGAAGATGTAAATATAAACACATGTTAAACTTCTAGAGATGAAAACTACAGTGACTGCAATGAAAAATACAGTTGAGGTGCAAAGTGGATTAGACACTGAAAAAGAAAAGGCTAGTAAATTTGAAGACATGGCATTTAAAATTATACAAGATGAAACCTGCAAAATAGACTGGGGAAAGAAAAGGATGTTTGCATTAGTGAGCTATAAGATAACTTAAGGGTCTCCAACAGATTGGACTCTGTGAAGGGAGAAGGAGTGGTACAGAACAAATATTTGAAGAAATAAGGAATGAAAGTATTCCAGAAATAATGAAAAATATACCACAATTCTAAGGTGTCTGGCAAACGCCAAGTTTTAAAAGTCCTGAAGAAAACAACATCAATGCACATCATAATCAAATTTCTTGAAACAAGTGATAAAGAGAAAATCTTGAAAGTGACCAGAGATAAAAGCACATTACATAGATAGAACCAAAGATAAGAATGACAGCTGACTTTTAGTTTTAGGCAATACAAACCAGAAAACAAGGAGGAAGTCTTTAAAATGCTAAAAAATAAAAATAAAAACATGCTATCAATTCAGAATTCTATACTCAGCAAACATCTTTCATAAACAAAGATTTCGCAATTTTAAAAGGTTGTTTTTTATGAAAGCAAAATAAAGACTTTCTCAAATGCTAAAATCCAAAAGAAGTCACAACCACCAGACTTGCATTGTAAGAAATACTAAATAAAGTTTTTCACAAAAAAAATCAAAATAATACCAAATGAATATTTGGATCTAAACAAAGATATCAGAAGGACTGGAAATAAGTAAATATATAATACTTTTATTTAAGTGAATATAAAATACTTTTTTTCTCATTTTGTAAAGATAAAGTCATTAATGGTGAGAAGGAGAGAATAAAGGAAAAATGCAGAATTTGGAGCATGATGGATATATTTTTTGTCTTGATTATATTATTGGCTTCCAAAGTATATGTGAAGGGACTTCAAAACGTTTGTGGAAAAATGGAATTAAAACATAAAACCGTAAACATTATTTCAAAACATAAGCTCCATCAAGTTCAAGACACTTTTGTGAGTGAGGATACCAGCCATTTAGTCGATTCTTAAAGAACTGAGGGTCCTGGGAATTTAACCATGTCAGTAGTCTTTTTTACTTTAACTGAAGAAAAATGGTGACATTTACAGATATTTTTTTAAGATTGGGAAATAAAAAGAAGTTGGAAGGAGCCAAATCAGTACTGTAAGATGGACACATAATGATTTCCCGTCGAAACTCTTGCAAAAATACCCTTGTTAGATGAGAGGCATAAGCAGGAGCTTGTCGTGGTGGAAAATGACTCACTGGTGAAGATTTCCCAGACATTTTTTCTGCCAAATCTTTGGATATATTTCTCAAAACAGTCATAATAAGCAGATGTTGTTCTTTGGCCCTCCAAAAAGTCAACAAACAAAATGCCTTCAGCATCCCAAAAAGTTGTTGTCATGACCTTTGCTCTTGACTTGTCCCCTTGTGCTTTCACTTCATCACTTCGACCTCTTGCTAGCCATTGCTTTGACTGTGCTTTTTCTTCAGGATCATACTGGTAAAACCATGTTGCATTGCCTGTCATAATTTGTTGAAAATGCTTCAGGATCATGATCGCACTTGTTTAAAATTTCCATTGAAAGCTCTGCTCTTTGCAGCTGATTTTGGCATAACAGTTTTGGCACCCATAGAGTGGAAAGTTTGCTCAACTTTAATTTTTTAGTCAGAATTGTGTCAGCTGAACCAATTGAAACGTCTGTGGTATTGGCTATTGTTCTGCTGTTAATCATTAGTCCTCTTCAATTAGGGCATGAACAAGATGAGTTTTTTCCCTGCAA